CACTAATACGCAGACCAAGATTGGCCCCTAGCAAGGCATCATGGCCACCCGATAGATTCGGATTCAGCAAAGTAGCTACCTGTCAACGATATGGTTACCGTACAATACGATCCTTCATCATACGTTATCTCGACGAGACGAAGGCATATAATAGTTGTCAACCTTCGGTTACTCTCGATATTATATATTCAGTTTCTGGACCAATGACCCGTATTATAATCTGGATAGAGCAACAACTTAATCCCACTGTGGCCACAGTTTTAGTGTCATGCCATATACTGAATTGCACCGTGAGATACTTCTCCCGTACCCAGGAGTGATGAATCATCTGTCAATCCACCATAGTCTTGATACACTCCTTAATACAACCAATCACCACCGTACTGACAGCTCTGAATAGAACTGCGTTAGGCTAGTGTCAAATTGTACCAATCGGTGTACAAGGCGCTCCGGTGATCTCAAGTCTAAGGATCACATGCACCACCATTCATTAGAGATTTGTTCCATAGACACTGGGGTTACCATCCATATGGAATCCTCTGGTGGGTCAGTCTAGTGAACTTGCTGCGGTATATCCGCCTACAACAAGCACCCTTTGTTGCACCAGGTTGTCACCAAACAAACTTGACAAGTGAGATCAGTCACTGCCTTTTGACAGGGTCGTTCAACACTATGATCCTTACCTTATTCTGTGCCCTTACTTCAGAATAATACTGGGGCTACGGACGTTTTCTAGAATGGCCACCATATGTGCTCATAGGGTTCTCACTATCAAGATTTGAAACACTTGATACCCTCGTCACGGTTCTACCATTCTAAGGACTATATCAATACATATTGCAATAATATGATTTACGCGATATAGAATAAAATGCCTTTTATTATTGATTAATGAACATTATTACAAAGAGTAAATTCTACAATAATTGATTGGCTCTAGGGCATCTACTCTAACATCATGTCTAGGAATTTTGTCAAAAAGACTAAAAGTAAGGAACTAGATTTTAAGTGGGACCATTTGTGACCCCTCCATTGTTTCTTGGGAATTTTCCTGGTGCGTATTTTCATTTCAGCACTTACTACTACCTAAGGCATTGTTGATTTGTTGTTAGCTATTGAATATAATAATTTGTGGTGCTTGGTTATGGGAACTTTTTTACCAAGCCAATTGAGTAAGGCATAAATGGCATCATTGTCCGAGATTCATCGTCCAGGCATCACCGTTCGCGGCACCACCATCCGTGCCAGTAAAGTGATAACGGTTTCAAATGCAAAAATTGATGTTGAAAAATTTGATGGCCAAATAATTTTGGCTTGTGCAAGTGTGGTAATGGATAGCTTGTATCAGCAAATCTATACGTTCGGAGGAGGAAAAACCAGAGATGTCTATGAGAAAGATTGGGTGAGGTTGAATGTAAAAGCGTGTGGGATGATTCGCTCATGTCTTGTAGAGAGCAGAAATATCCATTCATAAAATAGACTTCTGCCAATAAGTTATGGAAGGCGCTGGAAAACAAATACATATGAGAGAAGAGGAAGATCTCTTCGAAGGGAAACTCAAAGGGACAAGTGGCCTTTTGTCGTGAGAATGGGCATTGGAAGAAAGATTGTCCGAAGTTGAAAAAGAAAGAGGGCAAAGCTGCTTCTTGCATGCGTTGTTGAGCGTGAAAGGATGAGTCAGATTTCTGTCTAGTTAGCCTATCATCCACCTCTGGATCAAATAAGTGGATTATGGATTCAGGTAGTACCTATCATATGTGTCCTCACCAGGACTGGTTCTTTAATTTTGAAGAACGTGATGGAGTTTTGTTATATGGGCAATGATGATGCTTGTAAAACAACTGGGATAGGTTCAATTTGGTTGAAGAATCATGATGGCTTGACTAGAACTCTGACAGATGTTCGGTATGTACCGAAGTTGAAAAAGAATCTCACCTCTTTGGGAGCCTTGGAATCTAAAGGCTTCACGGTGAATATGCGAGATGAATTCTAAAAGTTTCTTCAGCGCTCTTGTGGTAATGAAAGGCAAGGAGAAAAACTTGTATTACTATAATGTAGTACAGTTATTGGAACACAGCTACAGTCGTACAAGAGGATGCAGATTTAGAAATGCTCAAACTGTGGCATATGTGTGTGGAGCATACTCGGCAGCAGGTGGAGTTTAAAACAACAGTTGAACCAGATAGTGTCCACAAGATAGAAGTGATTCTGAGGTACTAATATGGATATATAGATAAATGAGATTTTACCCCAAGAATCTCATCACAACAGGAATCGATTGCATACAATAAGTCAAGACGAGAAATTCGCAAGCCTGCTCGTTTCGCTAAGATGGTGGCTATGCACTTCAATCGAGGTGATGATATTCCTACTGCTTATAAGAAGTAGTTAGGAGTTCAAATTGTGAATCATGGAAACCGGCCATGAATGATGAAATGCGATCCCTATATAAGAAGACGATTGGGTGCAAATGGGTGTATCAAAGAAAGGAATTTCCTAATAGAGAAGATGTTCGCACAAGGTTAGTTTGGTAGTAAAGGGATACGCTCAAATGGAAGGATTTGATTACAGTGAAGTGTTTGCTCATGTGTAAAGCATTCTTCCATTCTAATTTTGCTAACCTTGGTGCACAGTTTGATTTTGAACTAGTTCAATTGGATGTGAAAATTGCGTTTTCACATGCTAGTTTGGAAGAGGAAATCTACAAGACTCAGCCAAGATTATAGGGTTGCTGGAAAGAAAAACTAGGTTTGCAGATTGAAGAAATCGCATATAGTTTGAAGCAATCACCAAGACAGTGGTACGTGATTTGATCAATGTATGATGGGCCATGGGTACACAAGGCCTGATGTTTAACAAGCATTAGTATGGTGAGCAGGCATATACATGATCCTGGTAAATGACATTTTGCAAGTTGTGAAATGGTTTCTACAGTATATTTATGTACTATAGATATTGGTTTAGTTTTTGTAGGATTATATTGAAAATGGGAAAATGATTTTCCAGAAGATTGGCACAAAGATATCCTACAGACATGTTGACTTCAGTAGTGACAAGGGTCAAGTTCATTTATTCTTTGAACTTGATCAACATCCTGCAAGCTTGACTGTGTCTTTTGGTGCATTTGAAGGTGTTGCAAAATTTACAGAAGAATACAAAACTTTGAAGGTTTGCTAGTCGCCAAAGTGGAGATTTGTTGGAAAAGTGCTCATTTAGCAAATCACATAGGGTAGAAGTGATAATGGAAAAAGGTTTCGGGACTTATATGTAATAGGCCAAAATGTTAGTTTGTCCCACATTGCTTGGGAATGAAAAGTGGGAAACTTTGGGGCCTATATATAGGACCTAAATCATTGTTATTTGTATCCCAAGATGTAATTCCATTATACTTCTTTTGTTTAGGGTTCTTTCTTTAAGGATCCTTTAGTTTGCAAGTTGTTTGTAACTCCCTTTTGTTTGGGTATTTGCTGTATTCCCAAAAGTTGTAATATTGTTTGGAGATAGTGGAGTTTTCTTTTGCAGCGCCCGAGGACGTAGGTTTCAATACCGAACCTCGTTAATTCCTGGTATTCTTTATTTTTGCATTTAATTTTGGTTATTTATTTATGCTTTACTACTTGTTATTATTATATTCAATAGCTAGCGTTAGACTTTATGTTTCCGTTGCATAACACCCTCAATTGGAATAACCAAACGATGGCACGGTTACCCTCCTCCACATTAAATGCACCCCTATCCGCATTTAATGCCCTGAAGGAGAATGTCGTTTCAGCATGGCTTGCATTAAATGCACATGGCTGGCAATTATTACGTAATGGACAAGCTTGCCAGAATAAAGAATATTTTATTGGTTAGGTGAACCGTTACGCGCAACAGATAACATCTGAAGAGGTCACAAGTCAAGGTCGCGGCTTAGGGCATGTTGATATGACACCGATCATGATCTGAATCAAGTCGCTGAACCTGCCATAAAAAACCACATCAAGTCGCTAAGTACAGTTCTCAAGAATCCATGCAGCTCGATCGGCACAATCAAGCCTCATCCGGGACAAACCGAGTCGCGGCATAATCATGAAGTTCTCAAGGCTTAATTCTTAAACCTTAAAAACTGGGGGGCTACTGTTATGCCCAAGAACCAAGGCTGGCGTAAGCATACGTCAGCAAAAACCAATCCAAATTCAGGAAGGTTTTCTGCCGTCTGGATGCAGCCACGTCCCGCACAAGAGGGGTAAGGTCATTGTCAGTGAGGCAGGTGAACACCAAGCTTATGAGTGGTTGGGAATTATCCACCTGCTGAAGCCATATGCGATTTAAGGATATCTCTTATGCAGACAACCAATGGGAAGCGGGTTAGGAATTATACCACACCTGCCCGCACGCAGAATCATGATTACCAGCTTGAATCCTCCAACTATAAATAGAAGGCTCTCCTCCATTTTACAGGATTGGCTCATCCACCACTTAAACACATACACTTTCTTTCCCTCTCTTCACATTTATTTTCTCTATTGTAATTCTGCTTGTCGTGTATGACCTGATTGTAATCAACCATTAATATAATCACAGTGGATGTAGGATTCGCCTTAGAGTATCCGAATCACTTTAAAAATTGTTACTCGCTCCATTTCTTATTTTGCACTTCCATATCACGTGTGATTTCTAAGTCCGCTTAGCACTTCACACGTGCGAATAGTTGGTGTCAAAATCAAGCATCAACACTCTACATGGTGTTTTCGGACTAATAGGTTTCATGTTACGTCAATTTCTCCCCCACTCCTCACTTGAATTAGTGCTTAGTGGCTTGAAGCCTTGAGTTAGGTAATGGATAATTTCTTATGCCCAAAGGGTGTTTTGGGATATATTACAAACCTCAAGGGAGTTAGGGGATAATAGCCATTAGGATTTAACTAAATTATTTAAATTTATTTATTCCTAATCGATAATACCGCAACCTACCTGGCGAACTGAATCCAATGATTCACCGAGATGGGCGCAGAGCCGTAAACTCCACCAAGTTTCTATTCTCACGTGCTACAACAACAGGACCCAAGAGCCAAAACTGTTGGGCTGTTGCCCTTCGACTTCGCCTACAAGAACAACCTACTTCTAATGCTGTCACTGTCTCTCGCAGTCTTCTCCCAACACTGACAACGTTGTTCCAATGGCGAAGACGATCGGAGTCTTCTCTAAATCTCCTCTAGTTAACGTCTCTTTCTCTTCATTTAATCGCAGCATCCTACCTTTATCGAGGTTTCTCGATCTTGGTATTGCAAGCTGTAAATTCAATGAAAGAAAGAGAGACTTAACTGTCACTCCTTCCACTGTTGTTGCTGCTCTGCCAACTGTTTGTGAAAAATCTGCTTCACGGATAACTTCATTTAATGAGGTGAGGTTTGACTTTGGTTTTTGGATTTTGAAGATTTTTTGCTGATGTGGGGTTCTTTTATTTGGGTGTTTTTGTAGTTGATTGAGTCTTTGATTAGTCGGGTGGATTTATCGGAAACAGAGGCTGAAGCGTCGCTGGAATTTTTGTTGAATGAAGCCAATGAGGCTTTAATTAGTGCTTTTCTCGTGTTGCTTAGAGCCAAAGGGGAGACTTTTGAAGAGGTAAAAACTAATCACTCTTGTTTGTTTTGATGTAATGAATTCAATGTCTTATCATTTCAAACAATTAATGGAGCACCTCGTTATTGGAGAAAATAAAATTGCTTTTATGAGGTTTGGTTTTTTTTTTTTTTTGTGTTTCTTTTATAATTAAAATTTGGTTGAGACAATCATAAATCAATCTATTTGTTGAAAAAATTACATAACCTCAGAAGTTTATGCAAATAGATTGTGGGATTGGCGAGGGCAATGATAAAGCGTGCGAAAAAGGTGGAAGGCCTGGATGATGTGGTGGACATTGTTGGAACTGGTGGCGATGGTGCAAACACTGTGAACATTTCTACTGGCGCTTCGATACTTGCAGCGGCTTGTGGTGCAAAAGTTGCCAAGGTGACATTCTTTGTCATCCTTAATTGCTATAATAGTTTATGTACTTTGATAATTGAATACTCCTATTATATGTTTGTAACTATAGTTAGTTCGGTTGTGTGCCTTACAGCATGGGAATCGTTCTAGCTCTTCTGCATGTGGAAGCGCTGATGTGTTGGAAGCTTTGGGTGTCATAATTGACTTGGGCCCTGAGGTAGGTGCATCTGGAATTAAAGTTATGGTAGTTGAATAAATGTTTTTTATCTGCATTGCTTCTTTTCGTACAAGAAATATGTGTTTAATATTACAAAGAGCTGTGTATAAATTAAAAGCATCCAAATCCTTGGTAAAATACAAAGAGTATGAAAAAGTTGATAAAGGTAATTAATAAATAGGCTAAGTTTTTGTCATCAGTTTATGTTACCTAATTTTATTTTATTCCATGTTTGTTGGGTTTATCTGTGCTTGTGTAAATAACACTTCTCCCAATAGTTTTTACTCAGACCCCAAAGACTACAATATTTCATGGGTGACAAAATTAATAAGAACTGTAATGATTATACCAAAATTAACTTGCAGTTTTTTTGGTATAATCATCTTTAGCAGTAGTCGTCATAAATCATAAGTTAGTTTGGAAATGAAATGGAATGATTGAGTTGTTACTTCATTCAACCTATTAGACATGGAAGATAAAAAAATAAAAATTACTAGTATATGCCATTTGTTGAACTCTTCTTATTTTTTCTTGAAAACAGGCAGTAAAAAGGTGTGTGAATGAGGCAGGGATTGGTTTCATGATGGCTCCACGCTATCATCCTGCAATGGATATTGTCAGGCCTGTGAGGAAACGGCTTAATGTGAAAACTGTATTCAATATACTGGGTCCTATGTTGAATCCTGGACGGGTGCCTTATGCTGTTGTTGGTGTATACAATGAAGACTTGGTAAGTGCCTGCATGGTGCACTATAGTCATAGTAGAAATATTGTATCTCCATAGAAGATCTCTTAACAAAATCAATTTTATTAACCAAAAGAATTGTTGGTTATGTGCTTCTTTTAGCTATTTTAACTTGTTAGCATGTTGATAACATTCATTTGTGATGGTTGAATTACGCTCTTGGCTGCATGAAACCAGAAATTCAGAAATTATACTCTTAGAGACATTGGTAAAAAAAGCAACCAAAGTGTGATTCTAGGAATTAAGCTGCCGGCAATATTTTTAATCTTAAATCCTGTGCATTGTCTGCCTCCAAAGAGCATCTCGTATACCATCTGCCCTCTTTAGGCCTGTTTTTGAGGTTTTCAAGTGTGACCTTGGTAGCTTGAATTCCATATATGATTTATGATTGAAGCTTCATGGATTAAATCTTTTTTCTTTTATTTTTCTTCTTCTTTTTCCAATTTTTGGTTCATAAAGGAGACTGAATTAACTTTAGAAATTTAAAGTCTGTCATTTTTCCCACAATTATATACATGTAGAGAGTTTGGGCTGTATCTTTTGAGTAACTTGCCACATGTATTAATGGAGTTTTGACGTGATTGAATATCTTTCTTTTTCCATTTGTTTGTTAGGTAGTTAAAATGGCCAATGCATTGCAACGATTTGGCATGAAAAGAGCATTAGTTGTTCACTCTGAGGGCTTAGATGAGATGAGTCCCCTTGGTAAGATTATTTCATTTAGATGATCTAGATATCTTTTATGTCGATTCTTACATCTTATGTGATTTATGCATAATGATCTGAATACAGGACCTGGTTTTGTCCTTGATGTCACCCCTGAAAAGATTGAGAGATTCTCCTTTGACCCATGTAAGAACCTGTCACTGATGTATAATTTCCTTCTCTCTTTATTGTAACTAAATGGATTGGTAGAGCTGAGTGTCTATGCGGATTTATGCAGTAGGGTTAAAACTTAGATGCAGATCATGCTATCAGTTGTACTTCTTTTAGTTTTAAAATGGTTTCTTTGTCAGATTAATACTTGAATGTCCTACTAAAATGAGTATGTTTACCTGATAGTGGAGTTTGGCCTTCCTCGCTGCACTCTAGAAGATTTGCGAGGTGGAGGCCCTGACTATAATGCAGAGGTCTTAAGGCGTGTACTGTCAGGAGAGAAAGGGCCAATTGCAGACGCATTGGTTAGTTTTCTACCTATTGTATTTCCAATATCAACTGACTGCTCCCCTGCCCCCCTTTCCCAACTTACTTTGTGAGTGCAGTTCTGCACGCTTGATTCTGATATTAAGAAAAAAAGAAAAAAATTAATCTTGCTAGAATTGGACAGATCATAAATGCTGCAGCCGCCATGTTGGTTAGCAGCCATGTGAACACGTTGGCTGAGGGAGTTTCCTTGGCACGTGAAATCCAATCATCAGGAAAAGCTATTAAGAAGCTTGATTCGTGGATAGAAATTTCCAAGGTCAGTAAAACTTGGCTCTAATTTGATTGTTTCGGTAGGGGTTAAATATAACCAGTGTGTTTCGGTCTGTTCACGGTAGAAGATGAAAGAAGATCTCTGTGTGGGTGGAGGGCCTAATTTTTCGTCAACGCCCGGTACAGAGTTTTGAAGGCTCAGACTATTAGTATTGCGAAATTGGTTCAATTTACAGCAATTCTAGTACAGAATAAATGTCAGAGTTGCCAGATGCTCATACAGTGCTCAAGGACAGTGCATGTCTTCGTAATTTACGTTGATGGGAGAGAGTAAAATGAAAGCCTATTATAGTACTTGTTTGTCTTGCATTGTACTCAAGTATTCTACTGTATTGTATAAGCTGTAATGTATGTGGTAGATAATTGTATTATTGAATTATAATTATAATAGATTATTATTGAAGATCAACGGTCTTTAATCCTTATACAAATTATTACACGATTTTGTTGACCAATATATTTAAACACGAGTGGTATTATATTTAATATTTAGCATTTCAAATGAATTGACAATACATGCTAAATACAGTGTAAACCTCCAATGTTTTGATTTAATGTTCTAAAGATGGTGTAAAAAATGGAGCCATGGATCTTTCCCAATAATTTTGATAGCATTATCATTGTTTTCGCTAAACATAGTATCATCAATGCATAGTCATTCTACTAAGAAAGTTTTATGTGAGATTGCGCAGGTGGATGCATTTCGACTCATAATGTTTTAAAATCTATAATACTGAAATGAGATGTTGGTCCACCAACTTTTAATTCCCTATCTATAAACCCAGACCATTATATTGGATAAACCAGTCTATATAATACAAAAAGTTTGTCAACAATTTTTTATATTTAAAATTAACTCATTGCTACCATAAAGACGGTTCACTCTATTACAACATTTAAAGTATTGCCTTCCTCTGTACTACGGCTTTCGCTTTGCCAGGGAATATCAAAGTATTTACTACGATACAGAAGACCCCTGGCTCGGGAGAGTTAACTCACAATGTAAAAACTTAATCTCTCTCTCTCCTTTTTTTTTTTTTTTTTTTTTTTTTTTTTTTTTTTATCACTTGGGGTGTCTTGGTCAACTTGTGCATACCTCAACTATTTTTTCCCAATCCTGGATCTGTCAATCGGGTAAGAGCCTCAATCACTACCCCCTATTAGTGTCTGAATAGACTCGAACTCAAGAGCTCATAGAACCTCTTTTTACTCTTTTACCATCAGATCACCAATGATGGTTTAAAAACTTAAACTTCCCCATTCCAAATTTTACATTCCTTTTCAATTAACACAAGTCTCTCTCTTGACCATATATCCCCCAACCTTCACAGTAATCCAACCCAAATCTCCATAGTCACTAGAAGGAATTACCTCTCGGCCATAAAATTATACTCAAAATACAACAAACTGGAGAAATCTATAGATATAGCATGGCAGCATACAAAATTTTATTTCATATCATATAATAATCGCATTCACACCACATTGAACAAGTTACATAGCTAATGATTACAGAACATATAGTTTGGTTCTCTTCATCCAATATACATCTAATTCTAGTTCTCACCTTTTTTGCAACTGAGCAGAGTTATTACTTCTCAGCAATGGCACCAGCATCAGTGAGAAGGGGCACCAACTTACCTCCTTGGTGCTTCTCAACAACAGCTGCAAAGATCAGGAAAAAAGGGAATAAATAGAAGAAAACATTATTGGACTTTTTGTTGTTTCTACACCCTACAGGTCTTCTTTGGCAAAGAAACTAAGAGCAGGTAATAGTAAAGAGGAGTTGAATGGCCTTACTGTCGCAACCACCAATGTGTTTTCCCCCAATGAACACATTAGGTACAGTCCTTTGCCCAGTCCACTCTGCCAGAGCTGATTGAATTTTACTTCCATCACCTTCAACAAGAGCGAGAATTTCCTTAAGATTTTATACTGGCAACTAGCTTAATCTCTTATGAACTCAATATAAAACTTGATTCAGACTAATAAAATAGGACAAAAAAATATGTCGATTGGTAAAGAATGAATGATTTCATCTCCCCACTTTGTTTATCAAGCAAACCCTAAATTCGCCATATTCACATGCATGTAAAGAAATCACACATGAAATTGAAACCATAACTTCATTCATTCAAAGAATGAAACCTTGTCCTTGGAAAGAAAGAGATGATTCAATGAAACCCTTTTCTTGGAAAGTAAAAGATGCAACAGCAAAGCAAGAAATAGATTTAAATACAGTGCACAACTTGAGATTCAATCAGAAGGGCAATAAATAAATTAATTATCAAACACGAGTTTGCTCTTACTTTCCACGTCCAGTTCTATGACCTTGTAAGTTGCTCCCAGCTGTGTGAGCAACTGCTTCACCCTTGTACAATAACCACAGTAGGTTTTGCTGCAATCATCAAAACTAATCACTCATCAGAATCACAGTATTATGGATATAGCTCTCAAGCCAGTCGTATTTGTATAATTTTAGAATGAAAATAGTCAGCCATGTGAAGTGTTATTTAATTTAGGGTTTCGATTCATTTTAGAATCAACCTATATGAAAGAGAGTTAAGGAATTGACCTGAAGACAACAACTGGAGTGGAGGAGGCAATCTCCTTGGCTTTGGTGAGCGTTGTTTCCATCTCTTCTTTGCTCATTTTGCTCGGAAATAAACTCATCACCGATCCCATTAATTTGAAAGATACGTTCAATACTCGATTCAAAGAAGAAAATATAGCGTGCGTTTGGTTGCGGGGAAAATATAAAACCGCCTTTTTCCCAGTATCTTGTACGTAAAACTAAGGGGCGTTTGGTGGTAGATAATAGAAAATTATTGGAGTACATCCTATATTACTTGATTATCATATTTGATTGTCAATTAATATAAAATTTTGGTAATTTTGTATTACCAATAATTATTACTATTGATAATATTCGAGATAATCTGATTACCTCTATTTTTTTTAGATATTGGTAATCTTATTTTTATTATAATTATATCACTTATTAATAAAATTTTGGATAATAATACTCTGTTTTAAAATAAATTTACATTAATATACCATTTTAATTTTACCTTTGTTTAGTTAAGTTTTTGGATAATAATGTCCTTATATTTAAAACAAATTATAGACCACCACTGCCACCCGACCACCACCGCCAACAGTGGGCCAACCCCCACGAACTGCCACCGGAAAATCGTCGGAGTCCCTAAAAATGATCGAGATTCGTTAGGAGGCTTTGATATGTCCGTTTTTGGCCATCAATATGGTTAGAAACGGCCATATCAGAGCCTTGTGGTCACGGTGAGCTACTCACGGCGACTTTCGGAGACTTCCGGTAGTGGTTTGTGATGGCGGCAAGGGGTGGGGGTGATTTTGTTATAAATTAAAGTTTTATATAAGCAGGGTGTTTTAGCTAAATTGGAAATATTTGGGGCTAAAAAAATTATTCAAAAATTAATAATAAAAATAATATTATATTAATATTTAAAAAGTAGGTAATTTAGTAATTTAAATAATATACCCACCAATTTATTTCCCTTAACTAAACATATTAATATAACATGCCTACCAACTAACCAAACACATTTTCTTAAAGATTTCTAGTAATTTTCAAGGTAATATAAAATTCTAGTAATCCAATATTCCCAGTAATCTAACATTCTCTGAACCAAACGCTCTAAAGGGCATATTCGAGTCAAAGTTTGATAGGAGCTGACTCTATAATTACCTTTTTGTCACTAACACTGTCTGCAATCCTATATTTACCCTTCACTTCTTCTTTTTTCACATTTATACCCTTCAATAAATACAAGCATATTATCGACTTTTTTTTTTTTTCAATGGAACTGCAAATTATGTAAGTCTATATAAGAGATTTTGTAATGAATCCTACGAACATAAAATCACATAATCAACAGGAAATTCTGTGCTGAATTTTTGCTTTCAACAAGTAATTGTGTAAATAAATATACAGCAGCTCTCAAACACCAATGACAGCATAACAATGTAGCTTCAAGTTCTTACTTGTGTAACAATGGTTTTAGATTCACTTGGCTGCAAAAATGGCTTCTAAATCTTTGTACAATCCCTTTGGTTTTGGCTTGGACTCTGAAGGTGAGTTTAAAGATGAACTTCCACTCCTTTTGCTCCAGAAACCACTCCAGTTCGGATAACTACTCGAAGTTGATGGATCATTTGGGCCTCCACTTCCTTGTTTACTAAAGCTAGATTTTGCCAGTTCTCTTAGCTGTTTCGTCCATGGTCTATCTGTTGTACCTGAACTCCGACTCCCAGTCCCAGAGCTCCTATATCTTTCAGCTGAAGAAGTAGCATCCCCAGTTCCGCCAGCGCCATCCTCATGTTGAGTCGATGGAAATTTGCTTTCCAATTTTTTTATCAGTTTCTGAGGGAGGACAAGCAGGAGAAATCCAAATGAAGCTACTTTCAGGCCTGTTGAAAAAGAACTTTTGGCACCATCCAGCTGCTTTGTCTGTCTATACAACGCATACCATTCATTCATCAACAGTGCAAAGTATCCTATCAAGAAAACTATAATCATAAAGATTCCGATTTTAGTCTCTTCTCCGACTGAAAATTCTTTCTCCAAGAGAACCAAACAAAGAGTAAATATACCCACTTCACAGGCAACTGAAATGATCTCAACCAACTGAACCTTTTTCTTAATGAAAGGCTTCTTCAGAACGAGGAAAAAGAGCTGAAAGCAGGTAATGCTTAATAATACGATTGTTGGCGATTTAGATGACCAGTCATCAATATAAGCACCAGCCACAATTCCTAGCAAAACTCTTTTCACAGATTCAAGTAGTGTGTAGTATATTCTAAGTATTCCAAACAGCTTCTGTATGAAAGGTGCTTCTGCATCTTCTATTTCATCATCAGAGGCAATGATACGATCACCACGCTTGTGGGGATTGCCCCCAGAGATCTGTGAAAGCATGTATTTAGGCGGACCTCTCAGATCTTCAAATAGAGGGCCAAACATCGTTAGAAATACAGAGTTTGGTGCATCTTTCCATGTCCATTGACCTCTTTTACCAGGACCGAGAGTTACTCGAATGATCTCTTGATACCAGTGAAATATCTGGCCTTCTTGATGAACTTCCTTGTACAAAAGCAGTTTCCCAAACGTAATTCCAATTGAGAGGAATAAGAGCAAGCACAGCAGAAGAAAAGACACTATCGCCAATAGCAGAACGCCAACTATAAGCCCCGATGGTGTTCCACCTAGCAGAGTAGAAGACAAGATATAAATCTTATGCATTAATTCACATTACTTGCAATGGCATGTAATGCAAAATTCAAAAGCAGAATGTGAAGGTACCTGTAACTAAAGCAGCAGAGGCCTTGCAAACACAAGGTAGTGCAAGAATTACAAGAAATATCTCAAAACGTGGGAATATCAGTGCTCCATAGCCTCTCTTTGTTTCAGACTTTTTCTTTTTAAGCTTTAAAATAAGAATGAGAAAAGCATGCAGAAGTATCAAACTGCCACCAATTACAGCTAACCAGAACATGCTTCTATCGAAATCTCTCCAACTACAAGAAGGTGAGAGCAGTGAGATAGTAAGGAATCTTTTCATAGCACTTGAACTCCAGAAATGAACCAAGGAATTAACTTAAACCTAATAATAAAAGGTTAAAAGGTTCAGCATCTTGTAAGGATTTGCAGATCTTCGATTTTAAGTTTTCGATAGCACTTGAAAGAATGTCTATGATTGGAGTGGACAAAGTAGCTCTTCAGATGAGAGCTGCACTGCAGTCTATATTAATCTTAAAATAGTGTAGTTTTACCTTTAAATGTACACTTTATTGTTACTTTTTTCAAAGACCTTTGCTTAGCTTTTAAATTTATATCAAAATTCTTATAATATCTCTACAATCCATAGGCAAGGGGACAGATATTGAAAAGATCAAAATAAACATTCAATAACTTACCCATTCAAATGTTGTAAATCCATATATTCTGCTTCAGGTTTCACAGTTTGGCTCTGCATACAATTAACACATTGGATCATTCAAAATATTCATCAAATTCCATTAGGAACTAAAAATAAGTGGTAGGAAAAATGATTTTCGACCTCAAAAAACATTCTGTATTCCGTTGGAGTAAGTGGCGCCCCATATACCAGAGCTGCCCTGTTTAAATTCCCTTCTTTTGGTGGTTCGCTCTGAAAATTCTCTAAATGATGACATTTGGAGATGTAGGAACGTGGGCCAGGAGGGTGACTGGAGCTCACCATGACTGGCTGAACATTCCCAGTTTCCCATGGTAGATTAAGGTAGGGAATACTCCACTGTAAAGCCCTTACAAATTCATAATATTCAACTGGCAATGCAACGGCCAGCCATCTAGACAGTGCAAAAACCTGAATGTGGCATGCAGTTCTCTGTTTAAAAAGAACACATACGAGTGAAGATTTCAGTGTTACAACTTAATGGCACTTGCAGATTAAATCTACATCAATTCTAACGCTACTGTATTTTCAAACTCAATAAAGTTTAATCTCTTTGGGCTCTAGCCTTCATTTAGTAAGTGACATAACAAAATTGATATTTACAAAATTTAGGAAACTGTTAACTGAAAAAAAGGAGAGAAACATAGAACTTCTGGAGAATTTATTTCCTCAAATGTTCCATGTAGTATGGTTCATGGTGTCACAATGAAATTATTCTAAAATTATTCATGATATGTGAGTTATCAAGAAGGCAGTGGAAATGAATTTCACTATCTCAAAACTACCATTCAATCTCCAGTCTAGCTTATCATTAACATTCACAAGCTAGTGAATAACCAAGGGATTGCTCAAGCTAATAATAGTTCAAATAAGTTAGGTATCATACAAAAAGGTTCCTTGCAGGATCAGACAGCAACAAGAAAGATGGCCTTGACAGTGCTCCAGCAGACAGAAGGCTTGCAGTAGAGACAGTGAGAAGTCCCGCAACAAGTGATGTTGCCAAAAAAGTGGCAGTTACAAATGCAGAAATCACAAAAGAAATAAGAGGTACAGAATCTGTAGATACGTGTCATAATTTATGTCAGAAATATGTTTAAAAAATGAATTTTGCATGAAACACATCAATTGAGCTAATAACAATCAAAAAGCAAGAATTTCTTACATTGTCTCACTTGTAGAACATTAGATGGTAGATTTTTGTTACCAGCAACATCCCCAGTCACATTTTCAGGAATGTTAACAGAAACGACATCATCATCAGCTGCTTGTATCTCTACAACGTATAGACTCTTACTTACTTCATAAAATCTGGAGCACATTAAAAAACGAAATAAAATTAAAATTGAATTGATACTTTTTCAACATTATTTTTAAATGTGTTGTTCCTTTCAATAACCTGTAAATGGATCAAAAAAGTCACATTTTTAAAAAGTACCATTAGCAAGTGCATATAGAGGTTGCAAAGAGAAAATATCTTGCCTCTGCAAAAGTCCTCCTGAGACTGATATAAAAGAGGAGTTAAAGCCAAATACAGGCTTCAAGAACTTGATTGAGATTGGGATACTGTGCTGCTTAGTCCTCATACCAGATGTTGTACTCAATCTCACAGCAGGCCTCTGAGAATCTGATGAACACATCTATACTCAGGTCATAAGGAAAGAATGACATCTACAAAATACACAAAGGAAGAAAAAAAATCTAAAAGAATTCATGTTCACTTATAATGATTGATTTGAACTGAATTTAAAAGCTTCATTTGTCAACCTCCTGGTTTTTAAGTTCAGCAGAAGGAAAAAAGAAATGTAATCTGATTCTATCGGAAAAGAATGTGGTTTATACCATAAAGGAAAGTAACTGGTTTAATTGGAGAGACAGGAGTCCCAGGAATGCTTATAATGGATTCCGTGACGAGGCCTACAGTGATTATAGCAATGCTAGATACATTTGTAACCTGAGAAGAAAGAGTGCATATGATTTGTACACTATTCATATGTAAGGTTTCCAGAGATTTGAATGGTAATAACGAAAAAAAAAAAAACTTGAATACATTAAAAGTGTAAATCAACTAACCATAAAGCCAAATCTACGGTTCCCATAGTTTGCTCCAGTAATGGGAAGAAGTGCGCCCTGACTTGTATTGATAGAGTTCAGAATTTCCACAGATGAGTTCAGAACAGGTTCTGAGAAGTAAAAATACACCTTCAAGTTGTCATAATTATTAGTTGCCTGCACAGTCCTAGTTTCACTATCCAGCTGAAGTAACTTTTCAGGAACATGTGACCTTAGATTGACAAACACACTTCTTCTATCTGTAGAATACAAAAAACCAGCAATGGAACAGAGTAAATTGGGTCACAAAGTTAGTCCTTCTAACTTTAAAAATAAATTTGAGGTGTTAAAGAGAGGAAAAAGTAAGAATGGAAAACTCAAAGCTAAAAAGTAAATTGGAATTTTGAAAGCCAGTAATATATTTCTTTAATCTAACTATTTCTAGGAACATTTTTAGAAAAGTAGATAATATCTGTGTGAATCAGAATCTGCAGGGATTAAACATTTCAACGTAAAATGCTTTTACATTTTGATTTCTCAACTTTGGGTTAATTAAAACCAACAATCTAGCCATTTCTCAAAAGTCCAAGGCCTAGAAACACAATAAAAGCTTTCACTGAGATAAACTAGAAATAATCAAAAAGCTGGAGCAATTTATTTTTCATTCATTACTATAAGAAGGTCATGTTTTGGACAATTATACAGATTAAATTTCAAACAACTACTTGATGATTGAAGATGAATGAGAGAATTAACTCACCAAAATGCACATAGAAAGTCGAATTTGCTGTCCTTGTAAATTTGTTCCCAGCACTGTCAGTGCAAAAATTCTTACCCATTACCAATATCACTCTCCCATATTGAACCATAGGTGATAAACTCACAAGAAGGCTATATTTGAGGGTCAGTTGCAGAGTAATAAGTGAAGATGGTACAACTTGGCCGGCACCATAAACCAGCAGCTGAAGAAAGACAAAAAAATATGTTCAGGAGTTAATTTATTATTAATTAGCTTAGTGGTGCTAACCAATATTCTAACTATTGTGAACTGATAAATTTTATTTTTGAGAAAAATCAACTGCTTCATATGTATAAGTGCTCAAAACTCCAGCAACAATAGTGCCGAAATAATGATATGATCCAAATAATGTATCCACACCACTTTGACATTATTTTGTTGATTGAGTAAAACCAGATTTCATTTGTAGGATTGGTAAGAACTAAGAAGTAACCCTCTTATTAAAATTTGTCACCTACTCACGTTGCAGGCATTCACAGAAGAACATCCGAAACCTCCACCAACACAGGGTTCAGTGAAAGAAATATTTACAGAGATGTTTAGTTCATTTGTAAATGACGATGATGCAGTTATATGTGCTGTAGGGGAGACAGTATCTGCCAAAAAGAGACAAAACCCAACTTTAGTCAAGGATTAGACTGAAATCAATGTCAATATAAGTGCCAACACATCCAAACCTGAATATCAGAAGAAATAATATTCTGTTTCAGTAGAGGCTTTATAAATTTAAGTCATAACCTTTCATTGATCAACAAGTACATTGTTTCATTTATCAATGTTGCCACTTCTTAAACCGTTATACACTCCCTAATTCTGGGCGTTTGATAAAATTCTAAAACTCATTTTCTGCAACTTTTCCATGTTCAATTAGGAAACATCCAGAAGCATTAAATCTTATACTTTTAACACATTTTTAGACTAGCAGAGTTCATTTTTAAATTGGAGAAACAATTAAAAAAAAAAAATCTCAAAAAGATAGAGGCAGGCTTCTTAACCAACAATCCAGGTATAGCTAGAGCAGCTAACTCCTAGAGATCCATTGCTGCAGACAACAAACGTATGATTTCCATCCTGCAGGCCTGTATATGAAACCTCCCTAGCTCCACAATCTGAAGCAATGCCATCATCCAGCTGCATCCATGAAATATATAAATAACCATCAACTTTAATAACCAAAAATATCAAACGCAAGAATGTCATGTATTTTTTTCAATAGATACAACGACCCACCAATTGGTTAATAGACAAAGTTTCATCCTTGTAATTTAACAAGAAAATTTTGAACAATCAGGATATCCAGAAGATTGAATTTACATATGTTTTCTTGGGTGATTAATAGGGAAGTTTAAGCTTTTTATATTTTAATTATGCTTGTTTGCCGAAACTGGTGAAGAACAAAGAAATTCAACTGATAAACCTTGAAGCAAAGGCACAAATTACAATTACAACTTCGACAAACCAACCACTTTAATTTATGACCATAAACCATGAAACGAATCCTTTTAAAGGGGAGAAAACAGAGAACAAAAAAAAAGGATTATAAAATTGCATTGTGAAGAGTTCATCAAACCTTGCAACTGATGGTGCAGTCTGTGCAACTGCCATTTCCACCCACCGGTACTTGAAACAAAAATTTGGCTGAGTTGAGACGTGAAAATGGTTTTGGAGCTTTCAAGAACTTGACAGAGGCCTCTGAAGCATCAGCATGAGCTTTGAACAACAGAAGAGAAAGAAGCCAACAATGCAAAACCAGCCATGAAAACTTGTACAAACTCATTTCAGTTCTCAGAGAGAGAGCCTCAATAGTTCAAACTGAAGTCTCAGTTATGCAGAAGGTGAAATCAACAGGCACAAAAGAGACATTTCACTTGTGGGATTTGTGTAGAAAGTGATGAAGTAAGAGAGCAACGCAATGCATGGAAGAATGGTGGGAAAATGAGGTGCAGAAGAAGCAGAAGAGAGATTAGAGAAGATAATAATAATAAAGTTTAGTGGCTGGTGAAAGTTGTCAGTTTAAGGATAGAGCACATGAGACTGACAGTTCAAGACAAGTGTGTGTGATTTCACTAGTTAAGAGAAAGAGAGAGAGAGATCCCAAGGGGAAAGATTTTTCATTTTTCATAAAAATAGAGTCAAAGAATCATCCCTACTGTGGACATAAAATAAATGAAGAGGGTTGAAATCTAATGAAAATGAACTCCCGGATACTTAAATGGATTTAATTCTAGTTTAATTTTGTTCTACCAAGCTAGAAACAGGAAAATAACAGTTTACAGCTTTGTGTTTAATACATAATTTCCGATTACTTTGACAGCTTTGTCTGGCATGCAAAACTGAGGCATCTCAGTCTCCAAATTATTTTTCCCAGATTTGGAAGCTTTTGGATACGGTTGGTCAATCACCATTGATATACAACTTTTGAATAAGGTAAAAATTCAGGCCAGCTGGATAGATTTTATGGCAAATTTTATTGGCTAATAGAAGGGTCAAATGATTATTATTATAGTTTCTCGTTGTTTAGAGTTATGTTAAGGAAAAAAAAAAAAAAGAAATCACTTGCACGTGCATGAACTGCCTTCAACGACAGACGCCATGTTCTTGATTCAGAGTTGTTCAATAATTTTTATGTGTAGTGTACAGCAAGAACAGATTCGAATCAACGACCCCATTAATCCAGCTAATACAATGTGATCCTGTGTACATTAACTTTCTTTCAAATTCAAATTTTGTTGTCACAATTTACTTCGAAATTGCAGAAATTGGGAGGTGGGGCTGGGGGATTCTGAGATATGAATATGGCACCATCATTTTTGTGATTGGAAGTGAAAGCAGAAAGGAATTGAATAAACAAGGAAAGGTGTATCTCTTTTGGAGGATGTTGAGGCCCCATATTAGAGAAGAAAAAATAGCAAAGACAAAAAGGTGATAGAAACATCTTCATGCAATGGCAGTTGAGTTGCAGCAAGATAAACAATCTTTTAAGCTCAGCCTCTAGAATATTATCTCTTCACTTCATCATTCTGCTACTCTCATGTCTTCTAGTGTTGTATTAGGCCCAGTTTGCTAGCAAAAAACAAGAGTACTTAGAAAATTAGGCCCCGTTTTGTTTCGTTTTTGGAAATACTATTATTAGTATTCCCGAAAAAGTTAAACAGTAAAATACCATTATTCCTAAAATACTATTATATATTTTTTAATTTCTTTTACACCTCTTAAATTTGTTAATTTAACTAAACACCCCCAAATATTTTTTTTAGAAATTGCAAAAACACTGTGACCATCCTTCGACAATAGTGACCGACTGTCCGTATTTAATGGGTGAGTTTGAGGTGTTTTTGTTAACTTTTAATATTCTATTATAGGGGCGTTTAGTAAATAAACAAACATAAGAGATATTTTTGTTAATTTCCAAACCTACATCGTAATACCCACCTAATTTAACTTTTTTTAAAAGATTATTTTAAAAACTATTAGAATAATGAACCAAACGGAACCTTAATTTCCCTGAAATTATTATGAAAAATAGTGTTGAATGAAATAATTTAAAAAATGATAAAACCAAGGGACTACATGTTTGGTGGTTCGCTTCGAACTCTTAGATGTATTACTCAAGAGATTCTAAGTTCGAATCTCCAATACTACTAATAAGGGATAACTATAGAAAGCTTACTTGCCGTTAACTTCAAAATCTCACGGGATTTGTTGAAATATGCACAAACTGATCCGATCATCCACTGGTACCCAAAAAAAAAAAAGAGACTACACGTCATCTAGCTAGAAAATAGTGTCCTCCGTTATAAAACATGCAGACGACAAGTCGTGGTTCCTCCATGAGACATAAACAGAGGTCATCCTATCCTATCAAAGGGGCTCCACACTCCATAGCTCAAAAGCAAAAAGCAAAAGCCCGTGTCTTTTTGTCAATTAGTGGCCCACGTCAAACCCAATTATATATAGTTTTGACCAGTCAGCAGAACAAGACATAATTCAGACACTCTTGTTAAGTCTTTTAATAAATACATAAAATATGTTTGCACAATTTCAAAAATTACGACCATGAAATTACCTTCTCACACACACAATAGTACCTTTGAAGAGCTCAGCGTACCACCGCAACATTGAAATCTTTGTCTCTTTGTATTGAAGCTAACACCAACTAATTTTAAAGCAATTAAATGTGATGAAAATGAAATTGGCGCAATGGTTAAACAAACAGTGAAACTTTTAATTGAGTAAAGCAGTATGAACAACCAAAATACTTTGCCTTTATATTTTACAAATGACAACAGTATTTATAAGGCTCCTTTGTTGACCTTGACCATACAAAGCAAAAGAGCATCCACAAGCAACTTCATAAAATATTGATCATATCAATCATTTATTTGAAGTGGGTTCTCCTGCCTTTTACAATATGGATAGTGACCTAATTGAAAAAGATTATGGAGACCACCACTTGTTAAGGTTCTGGTGAATTATTAAACAATTTCAGTTCTTCACTAGGACGCGCATAAAGCAATGACAGCTACATACATTATTCAGTTTTGAAGGAGAATATTTAATTTCTCCTGTAAGTGTATAAGCATCACAGCATGATATCTTTAACCAAATAACTAACATATTAGCAGTAGCACATTGAGGTCCCTGTTTTAAGGGTGGCCGTCTGACCTCCACTTTAGACAAAAGATCTATATATATAATTCTCAAACACAGCCAGAACTGTACTTCTTCTTTTTGATAAATTAAAATGCATAAAGATTAACAATTAGGATGGATTCATACCTAACAAAATAAGACGACGAAGAATTCCCCATGTTATTGCTATTGTATTCTTGCAATCTATCTGCAAAAGATAAATTTAAATGAAGCAAATCATGTGAGGATGTCACTTTCTGGCATCCATATCCGGAGAAGCTGATCATAAAATGAGCAAGTAGCCACCAAACTATTCTTTCTTTTGCCTTCCAGGGATATGTCCCCTCTATGCCAATCTGCACCATAAGCTAGGGAGTCATGCTTGGTATAAGTTTCAATCACTTCGGCTTTCTCCCCTTTAACATCAACAACTGCAAATCCATTGTGCATACAAGCTGTCAATACCACACCTGGTACAAAAGGGTGGTGCTTGATTCTCCAAACTCCTCCCCGTAAACAAACTGAAGTTTCATTCACCGGTTTTGAGATTGACCTTACATCCCATACCCTCAGATGCTCGTCATAACTACCAGTAAGTACAGTATTAGGATCACTAGGGCTCTTAGCAATGCAACAAACACCCATTTTGTGAGTCTTGGAGTTCTGAAATGCCAATGTGGATGAAGTACTACCCCGTATATCCCAACAGCTAAATTTGCAGTCATCTGAGCCGGTGTACACCAGCTGAGGTTGGTGAATGTCAAATGAAGTGGCCCATAGTTCAAAATCATGTGCTTTCCAGTCTTGCTGAATTTCAAGTTTTGACTCTTCAAGGGAGATAATTGAAACAGAACCATCAGAAAGCCCAACTGTGATGGATGTGGCTGATGGGTTCCACTCTAAGCAAAGGCACATGGAGGAGCTGATCTTTTCACAATTGACATCTCTTAGAAAACCCCCTGCAATAATAAACAAAATCATAGGTAAGTATATAATTAATGAGCAATATTGTTAATAGCTTCGCCTAAAATGTTAACATGCACTTGCTGATTACTATACTAAGAAGCTAAATGCCATTTTAACTTGCTAAACATCTTAACGTATATACCTCCAGCTTCTGAATCATCTAGAGAGTACTCAAGGTTATAAACCTTCACATAACCATCAGCATCAGCTTGGGCAAGCAAAGGACCCATAAAACCACCAACTGGGCTCCATTTAATATCAAAAATTCCAGCTGTGTCCCTTCTATAAAACAATTCCATATTGTTCTCTTCAGCATTGACATTGAATAGCGAAATGCTTCCTGTTCGACTTGGCTTATCACCTTCTTGTAAAGTATACGTTGAAGCCGCAAGAACCCTGTGGTAATTGTCGTGTGGACAAAACTCCACGGCGTCTGCATTGCCGTCCAGTTTGCAGTGCGCCACGTCCATACCTATAAAACTGTTCAAAACATAAAATTTCCAAGTGATTTTGATTTGGGCATTTCGTCAAACAGTTTGTGTGTAAATGCACAGCCAAATAAAGAAACGTTACCGTTGTAAGCTGGCGCTAACTGAAACAGTTTGTGAAGGAAACGTTTAACGTTATGAATTTGTTGGGAATCAGACGAGCCAATGCAATGCAAGCGAGAACAGAGAGAGAGAGAGAGAGAGAGAGATGTTTGGGACTTTGGGTGTTTGGGGATTAATAATTCTTGGCGCGAGCAGTTACAGTTAACTCCCGCGCTTGGTTTGGAATGGAGACAGCGCGAAGTGGGAGTTAAAAGAAAGAATAATAAGTTAATTTATATGAGCTTTCGGTAGTCGGTACACGTTTGTGATCTAATTAGTAGTCATTTACTTTTAAGATTACACATATTCTCAAGTGATTAATATATAATATAATGTTTGATGAATGACTGCTCTCACATGCTTTATTCTCAATAATAATAATATGGGCATGAATCATGATTATAAGCTAAGTTAACCCCACTCCACTAACCCCATTTTGATAATAATTCTCAATCCACCACATAACCTCAAATTCAACGACTTAAAAGCATGCATTTTACATATTCAATTCTAGCTTGAAAAGCACCAATGTTCATGGGTTTATTTATTTTAATCAAATTCTATTGAGTTTGTCACATTTATTTGCATTTTCTTTTAATTTTGATCTCCTGTAGCGTATTTTTTAGTCACCATGTACATGCTTTTACTGATTCTGTTAGGATTATGCTTATATACAATGGGATTCTGTGATGTAAAGTACTTACTTTAATCAATTTAGATGAATTCAATGTTATTTAAACGTAATCCTGATAAAATAAACATTATAACATCCTAATTATAAAATTATGCTTTTAGAATTAGAGTGATGTTTGACCCAATTCTTCAACCTACATTACACACAATGAAGAGAATATATATATATATTTTATTTTTTTATGATCGGAGTGTTCAAGCTAGTTTACACATACCTCAATTACTCTTTGAGACCCTAAAACTATCAGCTGAGAAAGAACTTCAGTATCTACCCATATTAGTAAACGAAAAGAAATTTGAATTTAGACCTCTTAAGTAATATACCCAAAAGTTTTTATTGAATCACTCGATCACTCAAAGGTAATTAATGAAAAGAGAATATTGAGCACATGTATAATGACAGTATGGATTGGAAGAACTCAACCCTAAAACTGTCAAAAACTGATACGTTGAAATTCAACTCTAAAGGTGAAGGAATCTCAAAGTTGAATTTAGGGTTTAAAATATTAAAAATAGAAGTTGGATTACTTTTGAGAGAGAGTGAGAGATGAAAGGTGATTCAACGGTCATGAGTCATTGTCTCTTTGTTTTAAATAAAAAGTGATATCCACTATGTAAAAACTTAATAATGATGAAATCTGATGGATTTATTAAGAGTAAAAGACTAAACAAAGCTTATACAATTAACTAAGGTGGGAGAATAATAACTGCATTAATGGCAAGAAAATGATTCTTATGCGGTTCTTGCCTTCACTCAGTGTTCTTTCTATATAAAAATTAGCAAGTTGTTCTAGAACAGAAAAATGGCATTGAATATGATGATGTGAATTGTTTATGTTAAGTAAAACATGAACGCATATTATTAACGCTGATGTTCTGTTGTTTAGGCCTTTAGGGGTTTTAATTAATTAGTGGAAATTGTAAAAGGGAGGCTGGACTGGAGAGATGATGAAATGTGTATATTGACATGATACATGAGGAAGATACTTTTTGAATGTAGTAACAGGAAGTGATGATAACGCGCTTCAGGAAAACGTGGAGGTCGGCAGAGATGAAAAGAGTGAAAAGAAGGAACTATCAGAGGAGGGCCAGGGTGGTCTGAGCTTTCTCCTTGTTCGTACGCTAAAAATCAAACCCTCTCCAATAGATGGGTTACTGTGAATCACTCTCCCACTGTCACTACCATTTCCACGAAACTTAATACCCTTCTTAATTTCACATTCACTCACACTCATCACCGTAACATTAATACTCTCTCTGTCACTTCGTTTATTTACTTCTTCACTTCTCTCCCTCTTCCACACACAACTTTCCATGTGTTTCTACCCTCACTTCATTAACTCTATCACCATCTCTTCAGGCTTTTGTTATTTATAACTACACACAAAACACAATTCTCTATATCTTCTTCTTCTTCTTCTTCTTCTTCTTCTTCTTTAATGATGGATGAGCTGTACGGTCTCCATTCAAGCCTTGATTATTCTATGCAGCAGGCGCCTGCAGAGAATATGGTTACTTGGGCCAACTATCACAATATTTCAACCGCCGTTGTTGCTTTTGGCGATAGGCATCCTGTTTATGGATCCGAGCAGTTGGGGTCTGGTTCTTCTGGGATGTCTGACGCTGCTTCAATGGTGCCTGAGATTCAAAGAAACGGTTCAGATGAACAAGTTGCTGTTTCCAGTGCAATTAGAGCTAAAATCGCTTCTCATCCTCTTTACCCTAAACTACTCGAAGCCTATATTGATTGCCAGAAGGTATCTATACACATTATAATAAGTCCTTTTTAAGCCCTTTATTTGTTTGCCTTGTAGACGGTCACGGACTGATGCAAAAAACTAATTCAATAGTTTTTTGTCGTAGATGGGTTCTCCTACGTATAAAGCTAAGAGATTTAAACAGAAGTAAAAGCTGTAGAAAATTTAGAAAAAAAAAAAAAAAAAAAAAGAAGAAGAAAAGGACATTTAAGTTTGTGTATTCATGGTAATTTCTAGCAGTAGATACAACTACTTATTTATCAATATCAGGTCTCAGCGTGTGGACTCATGTAACCTTGAGATAGAATGATATTTATACATCTTACTTCTTGCTCGTTAAGAGCTAGACTTTTCCCGCGGTTTTGACTGTTGCTTTAGATTTGCAGGACTTAAATGTTTCGATTGATTCTTTTTTCTGTTTTTGATTTGTAGTTTCTCGTTTTTTCCAGTTGTGATTAGTAAAACTTTAACCATGTGTGTTTTAGGTGGGAGCGCCACCGGAAATAGCTCTGGTGTTGGATGAAATCAGGCGAGAAAGTGATGTTAATAAGCGAAACACTGTCGTTTCAAGTTGCTTAGGCGCCGATCCCGAGCTGGACGAGTTCATGGTTCCTCTGTCTATCTCTTTAAACCGACTTTCTTATTTATTTACTCCAAACCCTAATCAGAAGTGTCTCTCTCTCTCAAATCTCAGTTTCTTATCCAATAGACCGAAAGGTCCGAAACCCTAATTATAACTTTCCCGTACTATTGTCTGCCTTTTCTTTCTCTCTCATACACTGAATAGTTTTCTTCTTTAAATAACCTAAGTTTATTTCCCTCCATGTATTGTCTTTTCTGTGCAACTGCAATCTCTTGCCCTTCCAAATTTCTTTGATTTCATTTATGACTAATTTTTCTTTTTTTCTTTTTCTCAAGGACATTTATTGCGATATATTGTTGAAGTATAAATCGGATCTATCAACGCCTTTTGATGAAGCAACTGCGTTTATAAACAATATGGAAACGCAGCTGAGTAATCTCTGCGCTACTGGTTCTGGTCTCTCTCTCTCTCTCTCTCTCTCTCTCTCTCAATAACATGCTTAGTGTTAATTTCAATTAATTTAATGTAGTTTGTTGATGTTTGTGCTGCAGAGATTTTTATTTTCCCCGTGTATGTGGCTGCCTTTGTATTTCTTTATTAATTTAACTGTGTGTGATACAGCTACATGATCACATAGAAAATAGAAAGCCATTTTCATAAGGGAAGAAATTAGGCGCACGTTAGCAGGAAAAAACTCACATGAATATTAGTGATTGCTTTTATAGGCCATGTTCCGATGTTGGGTTCTCAATTGCCACCGTAGCCTCAAATATTAGATCAGGTCCTCTTCCTTTCTACTGTTGTTTATGTCCATAGCCTCCATGTTTCCTTGCTGCTATTAGGAATAAAAACTTCTCAAAACAATCTTAAAAGAACAAGAAATCGGGAAGACATCTTTGCCACGTGCGGCTTTTATACAATTTAGCTTGGTTTAATTTCTTCTACTACTATATAATGGGGTGTTGCTAGTATAGGTGGGGCATTTAATACTTGCTAAGTCTGCTAAATCACCATCAGTGTTTAATGTTTCCAACTGTCTTTATTAAAATTGGCTAATGTATGGATGTTGGTAATTTCAGAAAGAGTATTTTTGACAATGGATAAAAGAATTTTGCTAAAGCACTTATTGAACCAACTTTGTACTTCATGAATCATAAATTTGCTAAAGAAACTTACATGTAAATGTAGTCATCTATTATCTTGCATTTTTTTCCTTGTTAATTTCAAATTTTTAAATCTAAACTAAATCTCGCTCCACCTTGGGGTGAGTGAGATTGTCTCTATACCCCGTTTGGAACAATACCAAAAGATTTAATCAGTTAAACTAACTGGTATACTCATAGTGATCTGCAATGCGAGTGCAAATAGTTATGGTAATTCCTTTGCTTAATAGATTTTTTACTAATTTACATCTGTAATGGTAGTTTTTTTACTATTATTTCTGGTTTTATAACTAGAGTTTATAGTTCCAGTGGAGTGTGAGTTGCTGTGCATGCCGTGAGTAGGAATTAAAAATAATTCCTTGAGAATGGTCTAATGAGAGATGCTATTTTAATAGTTGTTGTCTGAGAAATGTTTCTTTTCACAATAAAAAAGAGTTTAGAGAATAGTTGCTGGCAGTTCATATGCATAAAATATAACCTCAACTGAAAGCAAATCTCTTTTCTCCTTCATCATCCACATCATTAACATAAATAGATAGCTGATAGAATCTTGCGATGAACACAAGATATCCTGTCAGAGTCAAGTACAAATAGTTAGGCTCCCAAAATATTACTTTTGTTTAAGTTAGGTCACTGATCTCATCTTCGATTCGTTTCAGTTTTCTTGATCACTGATCTCTACTTTGCGGTTGCGTAAGTAATAAAATAATGGATGGATTTATAGGCATTCGTAATGAGTACAGATGGACTTTGTCGCCGAAATTGCTACTTTAATCATACTTTTGTACTGTCACGGGAACAATCGTATGTATATAGTATGGTTCAAGCTATTTTTAGCATCACTTTGAGAGAAATATGCATTATTAATTCATTATCTCTGTAGTTGCACAGCTTTGAGGTTATGGATTTGGATTGGAACGAAGTACCTTTTCTTTGGAAAGCTAGTGATTAATATACTTGGTATGGTCATGCGTGAATCTAAAATTTGAATTTAAAAGGAAGACATCACTGTAGAGCCATATGGCTTGTTAGACATTGAAGGTTTTTGTCTGATGGGCTTTCTTCTCTTTTTCAGTTATGCATGGTGGAACTGATTCTTTGAATTTTTCTAGTGTGGCACTTCGGTACTTTTTGACATCTCGTAAATGGAAAATTTTGAGTAATATAGGATCATCACTGTTCTTTAATTATATATAGGGTCTAATTAAATGATCGTATTTAATGTTGAAACGTTTGTAGTACAGCTATCTCTGTTTGTCTTTGGGTGATTCATGATGTTAATCCATTCTTATTTCTATTTGTGTTCATGACTATCCTTAAGATTGAATTTATGTATTAAACTTAAAAGATGTTTTTAACATTATATTAGAGAGATCTTGAAACACTCCCAAGATATGCCCCTTCTTTATATGTGGCAATAAATCATCTTTTCCATATTAAAATTCTTTCATCCCTTTAGTGGGGTATTTGGGTGGAGAACGCTTGTTTGATAAATTAAATATTTAAGTCTTGTTTGACTGTGCGAACCGTGCACCTTGTCTTCTCATTGTTTGTTAGTAAAAAAAATTATATTTTTGTATCTCACTGTGGACATGCAGCAATTTTTTCTTTTACTTGATGTAATTGATTTTAATTTTATGTGGATATCTCTAGAATTTGAAGTGCATGCAATGCAAGTAAAAAAATTATATTTATGAAGGTTTTTGTCTATGATGTTAGATTTCTGAGGTTTGTTTGATATTTATTTCCAGATCTTTTGCTCATTTATGGGACGGCAATGCTTAGTGTGCAATTTTAATTTCTGTTTATTTAAAAATCTTCTTCCGCCCATGTTTCTTGACATCCTTAAAAAACCTATTGCTCTAATTTTTTTTTTTTTTTTTTTTTTTAATTTATTATTCCCGTTAAGATTTATGGTTTGTGTGGATGACATTATCTTCACCAAGTCTAGAGGACTGCAACTATATTATAGAGAAATATTTATGTGAATGGTTTTTCCCATTGCTAGTCAGTGTAGTTTATTGATTACTGCTGATCATGATTCATACCTATATACCCAGAGACAGTTGACGATCCTTGCAACTTTTTATGGAGTATTAGCCTTAGACTATGTTATTTTTTATCATCATTTTAAATTTTAGATTAATTTTGGACGACTTAGGAGTGCTGGACGAAAATGGCCTTTTTGATTAATCTCTAACATGTATATTTGCACTGTAAGGTATGCTTATCATTTTTCTCTTTGTGCTATAAAATTTAAGAATTGCTCATGATCTTTGTCTGCATGTGAATTAGAGGGTCTTTACAAGCCATTATGTTTGACAGGATCATCTGACATAATCTTTCTAGCTACTGGACACGAGGTTTTTATCTTAATCGGTGATTAGGTGGTTTTCCTTGACTTGTTTTGTCTGTTATTTACCTTAATTGTGTGGGTCAAAAATGGATTTAACTTGTATTTCTCAGAGAATCAATTAGAATGAGATATCTAGGGTTCTTTTACTTGGTTTAAGATTCTGAATATTCTGGTTATGCTTAGCAGAGGGGCTGAATTTGCCTTTGAAATTGGACAAACACATATATATATAGGAGGTGTCCAATCTAGCGAGCTGTGTGTCTCAATTTCTCTACTGCAGTCCTTCAATTTCCGATGCATTGACGATTTTGTCTTAGCAAAAGTGCGCAAAGGTCAAATCTGTAAATAACATTTATAAAAAATATCAGGTCTCAGGTCTCACCTCTCTCAGTTTTCTTATTATTATATAACTTTAATAACATGACCTAGGTTTCATTGAATACATAACTGAGGTCTCAACTCTTAATTTATTCTTCTTATCATTATTGTTTTCTTATTATTGTTAATTCACTTCTGCTCTATAACATTTCTTTGTTAAAGTGTTACGTTTTCGATTATATTTTATGTTCAAGTGTTTTTTATTCATGTCAGATGGGTATTATGTATTGGTAGGCTATAATGTTGAGTGTAAAGGAAATTGTATTTTATGTTCAAGTGCTCTTTATTGATGTTAGATGGATACCATATGTTGTTAGGTTATAATGTTGAGTCTAAAGGGAATTGTAAGGCTAATTTTTTTTGTTTGGTGTTTTGTTGATTTAAAATCAATCTGTTTACTTTGTGTCTGTGATTTGATTGTTTGGTGTTATATTTGATACCGTCAATTCTCTTACACTCAACATCATAGTCTAACAACATATGGTATCCATCTGACATGAAGAAAGAGCATTTGAGCATAAAATACAATTCTCTTTACACTCAGTATTATAGCCTAACAATACATAATAGCATAACATTTTAATAAAGAAATATTGTAGAGCAGAATTGTTTAACAATAATAAGAAAATAATAATAATAAGAAAAATATATTAAGAGTTGAAACTTCAATTATGTGTTCAATGATACATATGAGACATGAGTTATGTTATTAAAATTATATAATAATTAAAAAACTTAGAGAGGTGAGACTTGATATTTTTTAGAAAATGTTATTTACATGTTTGAAACAAGATCATTAATGCATCGGAAATCGAAGGATTACAGTAGAAAAATAGAGGTATGCTGGGTGATGACAAAATTGTGGTCCTGAATTTCATGAATATGGAAATTTAGCCAACGTGGGCCATGCTCTTGCATGGTGATTTCCTTGCTACCAACATAAAAGGAAAACGGTAAATATAAATGTTAGGCTGTTTGAAAGAAAAATCATAGACAACTCAATGCCCTCGTTTATAATTAGATGTATTCTGGGGGGGCCATTTAATTTAATGAAAAATGGAAACCTCCCGCGGTTATCGCTGCAGTTAGCTGCCATATCAACATTAAGACTCCCTGATCCTTCCTGCTTCAATTTTAAAGTCTCGCTCTCTCTCTGACCGAATTAGGGTTACTCACTTTAAGTAGTGGTTTCTAGCCGTAAGTGAATCACAGTCACTCCTTTCTCTGTGTGTTTGGTTCTATAGTCTTATGGATAATGTAACTAATAAATTAGCTGATTTAAGTGCGTGAAGTTGTAATATTTGGTAAAAAGATGCATTTTTCTCGAGAACTGAACCCCAAAACATTTTCTTTGTTTTTTGTGTCAAGTTTTCTTTTCCAACGTTGAAGAAGGGTGTGGGTGGGGTGTGTACGTGGATTGGCTTAGCTGTTTTGGTGACAGAGATTGGGAAGATGAAAAGTAGTGCGTGCCTTGCGGGTTACCTCTTTCTATCATCAGTCAAACACTCGACAGTAAACTCTGCGTGGCGTATGACAGCCGTACCCTCCACCTCTGACTC